ATTTGAGTATTGATAGTTTTTGTTATTACTGCTTGAGCTCCATTCTAACCAAAAACATATGATTTAAAGTAGAAAAACCTGCTCTGGCTGGTGTGGCTCAGTTGGCTGAATGTTGTCCCATGCACCTAGAGGTCATAGTTCAATTCCTGGTCAGGGCACAGGTCTTGGTTGTGGGCTCAGTCCCCAGTAGGGGGCAGGCAGAAGGCAGCTTTCATGGCTGTTTCTCTACCCCTCTCCCTTCTTCTCTGGCTCTGTAATCAATAAAAACATATTTTAAAAAATCATTAAAAAAATAAAGTTGGAAAACCTGATTTGACTCACATAACTTATTTAGCTATGTCTTCAAATACTTCCTGTATACTGAGAGCTTTTTATTTTTATGTTTTCCCCCCAGTTATATTGATATAATTAGCATATAGCACTATATAAGTTTAAGGTATACAAAATAATGATTTGATTTACATATGTAAAATGATTACCACAATAAGTTAACATCTATCATCTCATATAGATTAAAAAAAAAAAACAGAAAAGAATAAGAAAAAATTAGGTGTCTTTCCTTGTGATGAGAACTCAGATTTACTCTCAATAACTTTAACGTCTACCATACAACAGTGTTAACTAGTCATCATGTTGTACATTACATCCCCAGTACTTATTTATTTTATAACTGGAAGTTTGTATCTTTTGGCCACCATCAACTGGTTCCCCCACCCCACAGAGGGCTTTTTAAAATGCATATAACACCTGTGGTCAAAGGATGACAAGCAATTTATGGCAGACAGAATTATGGCCACTCAAAGATGTCCCTGATCCCACTCCAATCCCTGGAATCTGTAAATATGTTAGGTTACATGGCAAAGGGGAATTAAAGTTGCTAATCAACTGACCTTAAACTAGTGAGATGATTCTGGATTATCCAGGTGGGCTCAATGTAATCACAAGGGTCCTTAAAAGTAAAAGAGGAAGGCAAGAGAGTCTGAGAAAGATTGACTATGGAAAAAGTTCAGAATGATAGGATACGAGAAGAACTCAACCCACCATAACTGGATTTGAAGATGGAGGAAGGGGACAATGAGCTAAGATGTGGCCTCTAGAAGCTGCAAAAGGCACAGAAACAAAGTCACCCCTAGAGCCTCTAGAAGGAAACACAACTCTGCCAACACCTTGATTTTGGCCGGTAAGATTTGTGTTGGAATTCTAACCTATAGAACTCTAAAACAATAAATTTGTGCTGTTTCAAGCCACTAAATTTGTAGGACACTAGTACAAACAACTATCCTCTTAAGGTTCCAGGAGTAGAGTATGAAGACCAGGCTGACTGGTATATATATATTTTTTAATGTGTGGGAAAAGCCCACAGCAGGATCTATAAAAACTCCTTATTGGGTATTATCGTGTTATCTCAGTCCTAGGAAACTCCTTCTTAACATCCCCCTTCAGGTAAAGGATAAAGGATCTGGTAAGAACCCCAATTAACAGGATCCCGTCTGTAACACTTGATGAGAAGGAAGGAGATTCTGTTGGAAGTATTATGTTAGGGTATTTAAAGTCAATGTTCAAAGAATCTAGCTGTAGTCGTTACCATCTGAAACACCCAAGTCTGTTGAAGAGGAGGTTTAACACCACCAGATTCTCTAGCAAAAAGACCAGAGGAATTACAAAGTTCTTCTCCAGATGGGACCTATTGTTTTATCATCAAACTATCAAATAGCACTTTGTTTAAATAGATTTTCTCATGTGTAATGTAGTGATTCTGACTGAATCTTGCTCATTAATTTTGAATAATTAAAAATATGCTCACTTTGGCCCAAACCTGGAACAATTAAAACAATTTCTGAAAGTGGGGCCTAAGCCACCGTATTTTTTTTTTTAATTTACCTAGATAATTCAGATGCAAAGTTAAGGTTGAGAACTACTGACAAAATGGTTATGTATATCAGAAACAATAGATTAAAAAATAAACAAGGTCTCATACAGGAGTGAGGTAGAGCATAATATAATTAATATTACTGAACCAAATGTACGAGTAAACTTGTTCTTGCCCACATATAAGAGATCTTTGGGATAATCCCCATGTAGGAACTAAACACTTCCATAAAAGTATTTAGGACTTATTTATAAAAGGATCACAAAAAGCACATCTAATTGATTAATAGACTGTGACTATTGTTTATTATGCTCAGACTCGATATGCCTTTGTCCAAAATTAGGCTACATATTCGCAGCGAGAGAAGAAAATATATCATGTCTGTAAATCTCTTGTGAAGAAATTCCATTTCATTTAGAAAATTTTTTGTTTGCTTTTCAACATTTTTTTCTTAAAAAAGTAAATCTAAGAAACTTGTTCAAGTTTCCCAAGTAAAATAAAAGAATATTGTGCTTGGAATTACTATGGCTCTGCTAAATCTACCTTGATAAAAGGAATGAAGGTGTCATAAGATAAGTTTGACTGCATCATCACCATGGACATAATATCAGCTCTGAAGCCCAGGACTATATTGTTTGAGAGAAGAAATAAATAGGATGGACAAAACTCATGTGTTAAGCAAGATAAGTTACTAACCTGTGAGACACAGTGGACAGATAAAGTTAGTAGGGCATATACTTGTGAACATAGAAAGGGCTGAAATGACCAAGAGATGCCTAACATTCGTGAGGCACTAAACACGAGAAGCACTAATATTCATTAAACATTATATATTCCTGACACACTAAATATACATGAGACATTCAACATTCATAGGTCTTAGTTCTGCCACCTACAGGTGACAATCATACTGTGTCCCACATGTCCTGCTCAGGAAGTGCAAAACCTGTACTTGCTCAGCAGGTTAATTGTCAACCTATTGCTGTGGCCAGATATTCTTGCTCCTGCATCTCTCCAGTAGAGCCAGTGTGTCATTGGCATCTCCCATCTTTGGTGCCTTGCTCAAACCTCAACTTCGGTCCAGTTAAGGTACCATCAACAGGAAGGCTAATGTGCCAAGAGAAACAGGACATGAACATTGCATAACCACAGGCTTCAGTTTAAGAGTCTTTCCATCTCATTTGTACCCTGTTCTAAGTGTGTTAATTTCCCCCCTTGCTTCTCTGATGTTTAGCCTTTCTTTCCATGACCTCTAGGATAGCTCATCTGGTAGTATATTTGGAGGGTATCATCGCATCCAGGTAATTTCTCACACAACATGAAGCAGGTAATATCTGGGTATTACTCAGAACTGTATGTTATAAAATATTCAAAATGAATAAATCTCTTTTGCCTGATATCCTATAATTTTAAACTCTTTGCACGAGTGCAGATTTTCCTGGCAAGAGAGGGAATTCCTAATTTGGGCAGGTTCTAGGATATGGCCTTAGAAGAACTTTTAATCTTTAGGCTTTCCAAATAAACCAGATTAACAATTTTTAGAATATTCATTATAGTGGGGTATAGTTTATATAATTGTAAGAAGCTGAATTTCTTGATCCTCAGTAGGTCACTTGATTACTGTACATACTGGGTGACTAGACCCCATTGTTTCAGGATTAGATAGCAGGAACTTTTGGTGTTTTTTGAATGCTTGTCCAAGTGGCCTGAGAGTTAAGGAAACCTACTGTGCAAACTATAATTTTATGTAAGGCCTACTGACAGGGAAGGGCAAAGGGGGTTCTGAAATAAAGCTACCCTGAGAAAAACCTGATTCATGGGTTGGTGCTAGCCTTGAATGAGAAAGTAAATGTGAACAAGTGACTTGGATCAGTGGGGTTGTCAGCTGAGGGAAACAGTTTGAGCTGGAAAAACTGGTGTTCAAGCCTATTAGGGCATAAAAGCCTCTTGGGTGAGAGGATTACTAAGGGGGTTTCCTTTTCTCAAAAAAATCAATCTTCCCCCCAAACTCACCCCCCCACACACTATAATGGGGATGAAAAGGGCACTCTTTCATCACCTGTGGTAGGTGGCTGTGCATTTGAGAACAGTGACTCCTTCCTTTCTACTACTTTTTTAACTGAAATACCTACAATTGTTACTTTATACCTGTCCAACCGCTGTATTTTAGGAGTGTTGGGAGCTGATAACTTAGCCTTTTAGTTTCACAGGTGATAATGGTATTCTGATTGTGCTGAAGACTGTTATTCTTAGTAGATACCTACCTAGGGGTAAGGAATCATCTCTGCATTCTACTTTCACATGCTTGGGGGCGGGGGTACACCCAAATACAGATGACACCAATATAGCAGAATTTTTTAATCTAGATGACTGATTCTGTCATGACCTTCAATATCATATTCAGTTATGAGCTAAATTGAATTTACACTTGGAAAACGTAATTTTTATATTACATATTTTCTCCAAAATACATAATTTGAAAGCATTATTTTTGAAAATTCATAATGGCTAAATTTGGGTTATCGGTTTTCTTTACATGTACGTCTGGCACATAAACCGAGGCGCCGTGTAAGGCGAGGCGACTCCATTGCATGCCCCACATGCGACCGACAAGCAGAGGCAGCGTGGGCTGCTGGTCTAAATTCAAAGGCCAACGTTCCTCCCAATCTAAGAGTTAGTAGGACTCGTCCACGGCTGCTTTTGCTTTTCAATTTCGGGACTGAGGCTCGCAGGCGTCTCACGCGCTGCTCGGGACACTCTTCTCTCGCCCGCGTGGAAGTGGAGCTCCGCAAGGACGCTGAGGGGGGTGTGGGGAGGCGCGTCTGCGGCCTCCTGAGACAGCTTCGCCTCCAGTCCTTTCGCGAGGTCACCAGCAGGGCAAACTGCAAAGCCAGAGTGACGCGTACAGAGCCACAGGAAGGATTTCACACCCTGCGCAGCCCCGGGTGCTCGCTGGCGCGCCGGGCTCCTTTGCCCGGCGCCCCGCCCACTGTTTCCACATTGCCCAATAGGCGCCGACGACGGTGGCCGGAGGAGGAGGTGTTGGGGCGGCCGGACGCTGAACGGCCGTTCACGTCTACGCGGTGACGTCATGCGTCGACGCACCTGTCGGGCTCCGGAGTCCTGCTGATTTTCTTCCCCTTCCGTGGGTCGGGGCCGGTTTGGTGCGGTCCGGAACCTTCAACTCCTTTCTTGTAGTCCAAGTCCTCCCGCAGCGGCCGAGCTCCGGCTGCGTGTTGAGGAAGGAGGGTGTGGTGGGTTGAAAGCTATTCTACTTCATTCCCGAGTTAGACCATGGATTCAGTTTTAGTCTCTCAAGAGGGAAGTGATGTTGGAGATTGTTATTTCTAATTTCGGGTAGAAACAGGTTGACTCTGGGGCCCAGAGCGAGCGTATCTAACTTAGTGCTTCTCCCGTGTTTGAAGGAGGACCAAAAAAAAAAAAAAAAAGTCCCATCTGGCAAAATTTCCGTAACCTCTTAAGTAGAAAACCCCAGGTGTCTTTTAAATTGCGATAGTTTTTGTTGTGTCCAGCTTCTTCGGGTGGAGCTCCCAGGGTTAGCTAGGTTTTAGGTTTGAAACAGATGCAGAATCCAAAGGCAGTGCAGAAAACAGCCAACGATTTTGCTATGCCTCTGAGCTGCAAGGTGAGTTGCATTCTGTGAGTGAAATTTCCTTAGCTGTCCTGTTCACGGTTTTGGGGTCAACTTGGACGCCAGGCTGTCATCTTGGTTTATCTTATAATAGATTTACCTACATGATGTTAAATTCACCCTGGTTAGATATATATTCTCCTGCATTCTTTAAGATTTCACTTGTTTTGTCCAGGAAACGTCGAGGGACCTTTGACTAGAATAGAAGTAGGTTCCAGGAAAAGATTAAATTTGAACTCAGAGTGGGATTTACGTTCGCTATATCTGCCCAAATGTAAAGCAGACATTGAGTTTTCTTTCTTTAGTTTAGGTTTTTGTGTATCTCAAGACATAGTTTGTGTGTATATATAAAATGTTTGTGTTTTGATCTTAAACTTGGACCAGAAGCTTCCTTAGAATCTCAGAAAATGATTTTGCATATAATATGCTTTATTTGTATAGGATTTTAAAACTAGAGCACATAGAAGGTAGTTATATATACATTATGCATATTTATTAGAATTGATTCAACAGTGATCATACCAATTTTTTTTGTAATTAAAAACTTCAGTTCTGCGAACTATAAACTTTTTTGATCTATGCAATTCAGTTACTGCACCATCATTGTGGTTTGTGTCATTGATTATTGAATCTTACCAGAAATGCTTTTTCTTTCATCTCCAAAGAGTTAATTTAGAAGACTTTTTTCTTGATGAGGTCTGTATGGAAGTAATTTAACTGATGTCAATTTTATATGCCTTTGTAACTACTAAATGTCTAGCTCTGGAGTACATATAGGAGTTAACATGCTAATGTATATATTGTTGATTTTTATTGTAAAAGGTGCTGCTGCTGATTGCATAGAATGGCTAAATAAAACAGATGTGAGATCTACAGATAACTTCTCAAATTGAGGATGCTTTTATGACTTCTAGTTAATAGGAGCAGCCACTGTTGACAGAGTACATGACACATTTCATTCCACTCCCACGTTCTACCTCCCACACTCTTCAGAGACTTATTTTTTTTAATAGTATAGCTTACATACAATATATTAGTTTCAGGTGTACAGCATAGTGATTTTTACATTTGTATACCTTATGTGATCACCACATGTCTAATAACTCAAAGCCTTTGATTCTTTGCTTGAAAAATGGGTCAATTGATTTTAAGAAGTCAATATGAATGTTTATTACGTGCATCACATCATTACTTGGAAATTGTTTTAGCATGTGTTTTCAATAATGTGTTGCTCATTAGAAATGTAAATATTTAACCAGGTTTTGGATATATACAGTTCAGGGAAACAGATTTGCTGAAGTTATGATTTTGTTAGTAAATTGGCTATTTTCCAGGTCATGTGGGTGACAGGCTTTCCATTTCCTGTTGTGACATGTTGGTAATAATTTTCAGACCATTCAGGAAGCCAGATTTGAGCTCTGTAGTGGATCAGATATCAAAGCAGTATTCTGTGGGTTTTGGCCACTATGACTGCTTTGTAGAACTTTTAGCAAAGTTTCTAGTCAAACTTGTCAGCAGTGATCTAAAACATATATGACATAATAAATGTTAATATTTATTGAGTAGATTCTATGATTTAGGATCTTTCCTAAATGGTTTTTGTGGATTATCTCAGTTCTCACACCAACTCCATGAGGTAAGGGCTTTCCAGTGTTCCCATTATACAGATGTGTAAACTGAGGCATAGAGGATTTAATTAATTTGCCTAAGATCTCAGTAATTGTCAGAACTTAGACTGAAGCCTGGCAGTATGATTTCAGAGCTCTTGTTCTCAATGGCTCCACTATATTGCAGATAACACTAATTCAAATGCTAGAAGTGCCCTGGTTGGTTTTGCTCAGTGGTTAGAGCATCGGCCTGCGGTCCAGAGAGACCTGGGTTCGGTTCCTGCTAAGGGCATGTACCTCGGTTGCAGTTTGTCCCCGGCCCTGGTTGGGTCATGCAGATGGCAGCCACTCGATGTGTCCCTTTCACGTGGATTTCTCTCTCTCTCTCCCTCTACCCCTTCCTCCCTCCCTCCCACTCTATCCGAACAAAAAATGGAAAAATGTCCTTGGGTGAGGATAAAAAAAAAAAAATGCAAGAAGAAAAGATAGGATAAGAGGGATGGCACCATAGGTTCATTTATTTTTTTCAATTATAAAAGTAGTGTAAAATTACAGAAACTGGAAAATCCTTTTTTCTTTTCTTTAAGACTCTCATTCTACTATAATAAACCCTGTTTTGGCATTATGTACATGTGTATATAAACATGGTATCTATGATTCATTTCGATTCTTAAAGATAAATGTTCCTTAGTTAAGTATAAAATGGAGGATGAACCCATGTGACGGGGAAACTACCCATTTGCATTGTTGAAATTTGCAATTTTGACTAGAACCGAGTTAAATGAATCTCTTTCTTGACCTTATAGAAAATAGTTGAACAGTTTGTCTTGTAAAATCATGACTGTTACTTGGTTTTCAAAGTGTAAGCCCTGTTAGCACCTTTTTGTTGGATTTTTGTTTCCCTTTATTCCTTGTTATAGTCTGAGCCTTATATTTGTGTGTGTTTTTCCTTTTAAAATCATCTAGCATTTAACTTTTGAATGGCTTTAATTTTTTTTTATCAATCTAGGAAATTTTCTTCAGAGTAGATAGCTGCTTTACTTTAACAGGTTATCCATTGCATACTTTTTTGAAGAAAAATACATGGTATAGCAATTTGGACATTCAGCTAACTTAACAGTAAGGATAAAATATCAAGTAGTATTACTTTTGGGAGCAGTCGATTTCTTGTCATGTCTTGTTTGGGTTGACAATTTGTATCAGAATAAATTCTTGCTACCATGATGTTCCAACCTGAGTTTCATGACGTTATATGGGATGGAGGGGTCATATCCTGATAAAATAAAATTGAGAAGCTTTTCATAAATTTTGTTTATGAAATTAGTTTTTACTACAGGTTTTTCCAAGAACCTTTCTTATCCTGTTAGCCATTAGACTTCTAGATGGGGATATGCTTCATTATCCTTGCTGCCTCTATGGTGAAACCTTTTACTGGACTTGTGTTCTGTGCACATACTCATCTCCGAACATGTTTGTTGCCTTCTGGGCTGCATAGCTTGATTCACGCCAATGCTTTTGCTTCTCCCATCTCTGCCCCATAAAATCCCACTTACTTTTTTTTAAACATCAGATATTATTTTTTAAATATGTTTTAATAGTAATTTTTAGAGAGGAAGGGAGAGAAAGATAGAAACATTGATTGGCTGCCTCTTGCACACCCCCTACTGGGGTTTGAGCCCACAAGCTGGGCATGTGCTCTGACCGGGAATTGAACTGGGACCTCTCAGTCCATGGGCCGATGCTCAATCCACTGAGCCACACTGTCCGGGCCCCACTTACTTTTTAAGGTCCAACTGGTATGTCTCTTCCAAAGGAGGCTTCTCATCAAATACAGTGGAATGGGGTCTTTTCTTTGAGTTCTTATATTAATTCTTCTGTCCTATCTGTCATGTATTGCCTTTTATTATGTGGATATATAGTAATTTATAGGAAAATATTAAAACATCCCTTTTGAGTACAGTATATAAAGTAATTTATACGGAAGGTTACTGAAAACTGTAAGCCCTATACAAATATGATGCCATTAATCAATAAAAATTGTGTTTATATTTTTTACGATTTCTTTAAAAAATTTTTTTTTTCTTTATTGACTTTAGAGAGAGAAGAAGTGAGAGGGAGAGAGATAGAAACATCGATGAGAGAGAACATCGATTGGCTGCCTCCTGCATGCCCCCCACTGGGAGCATGTGTCCTGACTGGGAATCGAACCGGCAACCTCTTGGTGCATGGGTTGATGCTCAACCACTGAGCCACACCGGCCAGACATACAATTTCTGACACATTAGTAGCTGTTCTATAAATATTGGAAAATGAATAAATTATTGTTTAACTTTATGGTCACATTTTAATATGTGATCAGTACTTAGCACATACAGTTCTTAAAATAGTTATTTGGAAATGCTGTGTACAAATGGCTAGATAAGTCAGTTTAACTTCCCTGTCATTAATGCTGTTGAGACTTTTGTCCATCTCTAATTGCTAACATTTGGGATTTTCATTTCTTTTTTTGGGGGGTGGGATGTGGACTTTCATTTCTTTCACTCAGATTGTGCACACTTTTCTGTCAGGTTACTAGCCAGCCAGACAGTTGACTGATACACCTTTGACTTTTAGCCATGGTCCTCAGCCCTAACCCGTCTTCTTTATGAGTGAGGTGAAAGTTTGTTGGGAGCTATGAAAAATTAGTGTACCATCTCAGATTGTTAGTCACTTAGCCACCCATTTCTAGGGTCTTCCTATTTCTGCCACCCCACCCCCCTTCTGGTGGTGTACTGCTTAGTGTTTAAAGTTTAGGGCTAGATTACATTCCCTTTGTTGTAGTCTGGCCTTAAATAGGATATATAATTCTACGCTTGGAAAAAACACTCTGATCTTGAGTCCTATAAGCTGTAGGAGACAAAAATTTGTTTCTTTCAACTGTTTTGATTTCTTAGATTTCTTTTTCACCATTCCCTACATTTTATTACCACATCCTCTTAAATATTTCTCAGAACTCTTTCTACTCCTCCGTATTGCTATGTCTTATTTCAGTATGCCCTCACTATCATATTTAGAATTGTTCAAGGGTCTACTAGAATAAGGGTCACCTAACTTTTCTCACTATCTTTAGTCTTTCAGTCTCTTGCTCTTCTAATCTATCTTCCACACTACTGCTAGCATTGGTCTGCTAAAATTTATATATGATCATGTGGTTTCTCTTTAAAAACTCTTAATGGTTTCCCATGTGTATAAATGAGGAAATAAGTTCCTTAGCATGACACGAGCCCCTTCCTTCTTGATCTGGCCTAGGTTCACCTCTCCAGCTACTCTTTAGTTCTCTTCCTCTTCTCTTCTGTAAGCTACCCAAGCAGGTTTTGTTACTATGGTGCTGTGTTTCTGCACCTTTTT